TTGGTCGGCGAAGGCACATTGCCCGACCTGTCCTCCAAGTTGAGAATGTCTTGGTCGTCCACCTGTATGGGTACGGCCACTGCCGCTCGAAGAGAGTCCATGTCGGACGCCATCGCCCCAGGTTGCAGTAGGTGCACTCTGCCAGCAAACACTCCGTACAGGACCAAACTTGCCTATGTCGTTCAGCAGAGCGGCTAGGTTGTACACGCAAAGTACCGCGAAAGTCACTCTCGGAGGGCTCAAGGCAACGGCCCGGCGGGTTTATGTGGAGGGGTGCTTCGGCTCAGTAGGACGCTACTTCCCCAGGCTCGCGGCCTTGTCTGGCAAACAGCTGCTCGGGATGACCCAAGCCCCCCCCCGACCCGAGGGACGTCCACCCCCGCCCCCCACGGAGACCACTCTCCACGGGTTGCGGGGGCCGCCCCGGGTCGCCCTCAGCCACAGAGACCAAAGGCGGCAGGAGACTTGAGCCAAAATGGCTATCTCTAACTCTCTCTCTCTCTCTCTCTCTCTCTTTGTGCATGTCATGAAGATCCAACTAGAAGGTCTTCTTGAGCACTGCCGCTGCAATTGGCCGCATCCGAGGTCCCTGCGCTCGCGTACGAAGCACGAGATCATTAGCACCCGTCTGCATGATGTGAATGCCGTGCTCCAAGCTGGACCTCTTGGGACTCCCTTATGCATCACGCTCATCAATCCCATTACAGCAGTGGTCAAGAACAAACAAGCACTAACTGCCAACATGTGGTCAGAGGTAAGGCACCTTTTCCTCTCGCTGGTTCTGAGCAGCATGGACAGCTGCCGCAGCTCCTGCTCCTCAGGCTGCTGGGAGATTCAAGGATTATGTCACAGTGAGCCGCCATGCAGCTGCAGAACGACAAGGGCTTTGGTTTGAGATATGGCAAAAAAAGGCTGAATCTATCGCACACAGCAATGCAAACTTGGCTCCCAAACCTTTCTACCCTACAACGCTCCGTCTCCCTGCGGCCCCTCCTTCTGGGCCAGTAGCTCGCGCAAGTCAAAGATTGCACGGACTTGAGCTTCATGATCATGCTGCCTCTGACAAGGCACATCACAGTTTACTGACTTGCAGGGCTTGTTTAGATTGATGATCTAAACTGTTCTCCATTTCCCGGCCCCAAATCTGGCATTCATCACGCAGTGACAGTGAGTTTAAGCCCTATCCCTGTTCTCCTTCTCCTGCTCCTCCTCCCGCTCGTCTTCGACCTCGATCCCATTTTTCCTGATCCTTTCCTCACCCTCGCAATCCTCCTCCTCCTCCACATAATCCTTTTCTTCTCTGTGTGCCTTCTGCTCGGCCACTTTTGACTTCTCAAACACGTGAATTTGCAAAACGTCTCTGCAGAAACACCAGACCACGACCAGGGCTCTGGGGTGTGGGGTCTGGAGTTTAGCAGATAGGGTTCAGGGTACACGATTTGGGGTTAGGGTGGGGGATTAGGCTAGGGTTGATGAACCGCTTTTGTTGTGCGATGAGAGTTTCTGAGGGTACACAGCTCAGTGCTAAGTGTTAGGGTTGGGGTTTCGGATTTGAGGGACACGGTTCAAGACTTGGCATACATGGTCGCATACATGGTCGAATCAAAGGCTTGGAGATGGACACCTTTTTGGCTCTCAGATGCTGTAGAAGGCTTGTCGTTTCAAGGGGTGGGCCACTGTTCCGAGCTTTTAGAACTCTGGGCTGAGATTTAGGGTTTCAAAGTTTTGGGTCGGGGCATTTGGGAACGAATTTGGAGGTTTGGGGTTGTTATGCCTTGGGCTTTGGGGTTGGGGTTGTTAAGGTGTGGAGTTTCTAGGCTAATGGCTTGCGAGCTTTTGGGTTTACTGTAGGCTTTGGGTTTGTTGCGGTTCAGGCGTAGAGTTTTCTGATAGTGGAAAATTACCGGGGTCGATTCGGAACCATTTTGTTGGGAATCAATTGCATAGAGGGCTTGGCAATTGGACCAGAGGTCTTCTGAGGTTGGGCCAATGTTGAAAGCTGTGTCGAGGCAAGAAAGAAAGTTTTTGCCGTTTTGGGTTAGGATTCAGAGCTCTAAGGTTTTGCAAGAGGAACCCATGTTCCATTTTCTGGGAATTTCGCGAATGCCTCCCGCCACAGAAACTGGTCTAGGCTGGATGCATCGGGAGGTTGGCAATGGACTGTTCGTTGGGGCACGGGGGCTGTGGAGAGGCCAAGGTTTAGGGTTTCGGGATAGGGCTTCATGTTTCAACGTTAGGGGTGCAGGACTGTGTAGGAATTTGAAGACAAATTTGGCATTGGGGGGCGTGGGTCCGGCTCGGGCTTCAGGGTTCGGAGAATGGAGAGTTATGCTCATTTTTGTGGGAAACCTTTGCATACATATATGACGACATATGCAGGTATATGTTCCTTGAGAATTGGCCCTGCAGAGAGCTTGGATTTACTCAAGCTGGGCCACCAACGTTCAGGGGTTTTAAATGTCTAGGGCTGGGGGAGGTCTTAAAATTTGGGATGTAGGAAACTGAAATGATTTCTGCGCTCCAAAAGCAACGATGGCTCCGCACTTTGTCAGGAGCACGCTCATGCAGCTGTGGGGGTTGGAGGGTACACGCTCCAAAAAACAACAGTTCTGCATTTCGCGACACCAAAATGAGAGAAGTCACAAGCGGCCATTTTACCTCTCCTGCTGCCGCAGGCGAGACCATGATTGTCACCACCATCAGCACCGCTTGAAACTACTAGTACTGCACGACTTCAATGCCAGCACATGCTTGGAAGCGACGCATCATTTGGCAATTTTGAGTGGAAGCCTCAGACGGGAAACACTTTGAGCCTCAAGTGCAAAGGCAAAACGGTAGGCTTGGAACCACCACCACCACCACCACCACCACCACCACCACCACCGCTGCCGCCGCCGCCACCGCATCATCATCATCATCATCATCAACAACAGCACCAGCACAAGCAGCATTGCCACTACCAACACCCCCAAATGACCCTAAAGCCCACTACACTTATCATACGCACTTTTTGTCGTGCAAGGGCCAATAAGATTGCCATCTGCACTTCAACTAAACGGAGAAAGTGTCCTAACGGACGCATGCAGCCAAGCGGCATTCGCAAGGCTTCGTTTTGCATCTGCACATGCGACCGCCATGCACTGAAGCAGTTCCTGATGTTCGGCTCTTCATGGCAGCAAAACCGTTTTGCCGCTTAACTACCTGCCAGTTTGAAATTGAAGCGCGTTAAGCTTTGAAGACGAGCGGCTTCACCCTCCAGGATGCCCGCAGGGTACCGAAGCATCGCTCGCGCCGCTTAAGCCGTTCCTCGCACACCAATTTAGGTTGGGAGGCCAGCTTGGCAAGCAACATCCCCTTCCTCCAAATCTCGAGCTGCCGTGTCTGGCTGCCGCGCCACTGGCTCAAACTGTTGTGCCTGTGAGGTTTTCGGTGCAGCGCATGAGTCCGTGTCTTGTCAGCTTTGGGTCTCCTCTAGCGTTGCCGTAGAGCTGGCAAAGTTTCGATGGCGCGCAAGGACTGAAGCTGAAGCCTATGCACTCGTGGGACCCAGAAAAGCTCGAAGCTCACAACAACAAATACCAGAAGATGCCAATCCTAGCCTTGTCATGTGCAAGATTGTTGCTGAGCATCTGACACCCGCTGGCTGGCGCACAGGGAGACCTCCAGCCAGCGGCATGACAAGTCTAAATGCCGTAGTGCTTGACGTAATCAGAGCTGCTCATGGTAAGCAGGAGAGTTTCTTCACACTGGTCAATTCTTGGCTTGCACAAGTCACCAGGTCAAAATTTGATCACATCCACTCAACTGCCTGCCGAGCCTTTCAGGCTTGGGGAGGAGATCGACCTGCACAGTGCAGGGCGCTTCAACGCAGCTGCATTTTGCTTGCCCCAACAGCAAAAAAAACCTTCCACCACGGCGAAACTCGAAACGGTGAGACGAGCCCAGGCGCTCCTTGAACTAGCACATCTAGCACTGCTTTGCCTTCAACGCACCGCACCCGCAATTCATGTACTGTCTGTCTCCTCAGCGGGAAGGCCCAGCAAGGCCATTGCAATGCTACTTGATGTCTGAATCTTTGCTAAGTCATCAGATTCATGAGAGCTGATGCGCGAAAACAACACCCTAGCAGCAGCTACCTGACTATCAAGTGGGTAAGAAACTCGACGGGAAATTTGACAGCCCAATTGAATCTTATGTTTTGCTCGGCTTAAGTCAGCTGACCGGGCTGGGGAGTGCCGCAACTTTGGCGGTGACTGACCAAAGCGGCCTGCAAGCTCGCTCAGCTCCCTCCAAGAGTCAGCATTCCATGTGAAGTATTAAGTATGCTGCGGGAACCGAATGCAAGAAATTTCTGAGGGTGCTGATGCTGTGGCACTTCATGATGAAGAGGGAGCTTGCTGGCCGCTGGTCTTGATCCCGAGACATATGTGCGGTATTCTAGGTTTGCTTCATGCAGGCATGGGCTCATGTGGTGGCCATTCGAACTTGACCGGTGCGCATCCAGCATGGCATAGCATGGCTCTGCGAGTCTCTTTGCCCCTGGCACTGCAGAGCTCCGCTTCACGGTGTCTGTGCGCAGAGCTTCACGGCGCCAGGAAGTTGTGCCTTCAATTTTTAAGCAGATTTCCAACTTCCACCACTTCCGCAGAAAGGAGGAGACGACCACAGGCCTGCCGAGCCACGCAGCGGTGGAAGCCAAGAGTGGCATTGACAGCCTCGATGAGAAGCTGCAAACGCTGCCGCCTACCAACGAGCTCAGAAGTTTGCAGGCTGTGGAGGTGGTTGCTAGCTTTCATTTCTCGCCGCCACAACTTTGGCCCGCCGGAACAGCTTGACCGTAAACGTACGGAAGTTCAACCATAATGGAAACTTCAGTTTCTGGGAATGATGCCAGGTGATGTCAAGAGCTTTGTGGCAGGTGAACTCTAGAGCTGCGAAAGCTTCAAAGAGCCCCGAAAAGCATCATTCACACAAACGACGTCAATTCAAGCAATTTGTGCTCAGCCCTGGATGTTCTGCACATCCTCGGCACCCAGAACCTGACAGAAGCATTGTGGTTGTGCCATGCAACAGCTGCTCATCCGCTCGAAGCCTGCGGCTGCAGATTTTTGCAATTTGGCGAGTCGAGCCTAAGAGCGTGGCGAATCAAACTCAAGGGCCTTTCGTTGCCAGCTTTGCCTAGTTGCGTAGCCCAGCCGTGTGAGGGCCAGACTTTGTCGTCGTCGCCTTCTCTGCATCCACATCATCAATAACCTTGTCCTGACAAGCATCACTAAATGCTAATTGATGTGCTTTAAAGCACCTGTACCACCCTTCTGGGACATCTGCCTGGTGCGACGCACGCTGGGCGGCCAGGTCCCAGTCAGCGCAGGCATAAGAGAGGATCAGCAACGAGTTCAGGAGGATGTAGCCTGATGCAACCCTGCTACAGAACTCACTTTTGTTGTCGGCTCGAGTGCCTGCTGATATTTGAGAGGGCACTAACCAACATCCCCACGGATTCTAGCTGATGGCCAGCATCCAAGACCCGCCATGGACTAAGACGCAGCTTGTCCACCAAGGCGCAAAGAGGAAAAATTCTCCAGAGGCTGACCAAATCAGTGCTGGAGAGCGTAACTGGCCTCGGCTGATGCACGGAACATAGGGCCCTGTCACGGCTTGTCAACCGCCGAAGGCCGAAACTGCAGACGTGCACAAGTCAGCTCCTTGGTCAGGACAAGGAGCACGCCCACAACCCACAGGCTGAGAATCATTGAAAGGGAAACTCGTCCCTGATGCGAATGGATGTTGCAGATTCCTTCCAAAAAGCTCTCGCAGCATGCACTACCATTGCACGGCGTGTTTGCTCCTGCCACATCTGTACCACCTACCAGACCCTGTCACTGGTCAATCTAGCCGAAGGGTCCTTGATTCAAGGGAAACAGCCCATCCACAACGAGGAAGAAAATGACAAAGGGCCAAATCTCGCGGCACGTAGCGGAGAGCTCCTTGGCAGAGGAGCCTGACAAGCAACGTAGCAACAGCTAAAATCAGAGTCTGAAGCTCCGGCCTGACATCTGGGCAATGTACTCCTCTTGCGCTGCCTTGGTTCACGGTTCCTCGAAAACCATTCATCAGCCCGACATTTGGCCGTGGCACCCACATCAGCGCCGCATCCAATATCACCAAAAACACCCCGACGGCCAGGCCTCCCAAAGCCACCTCTCAGGCTCGATTCAGGGATCGTCAGAAGCGACTCCATGCAGCCCCATCAGCCTTCTTGGCAGCTTGGCCACGGCCTTCGCCAAGCAGCGCTCCTGCGCGTGACGCATACCCCATCTGGACGCCTGCCAGCTGGGTGCAGCACATTCAGTATTGTTCCGAGAAGGCGATGCTCGCACGACGTGCAGAGCAGGGCTATGTTCTTGATGTCTTTACCGCATTGTACAGTGTTACATAACTTGCGGAAGCAAGGCTTCGCCCTCAGCGCCTCGCGGCACTTGGAAGAGAAGCGGCACAGCCATGTAGGCCACCTTGCTCGAGATTGTCAGCAGCAGTCGAAATATGCTTGTCTGGCCCATCGCCAAGAGCCCCATACTTGTTCCTCAATCTGGTGCTATCGTGTTTCACCTACTTCCGGAGCATGTTGGCGGAAAACCATCTCGTTCTACTAGGCTCGGATTTGAGAAACTTACATGAGCCATATCAAGGACTGACTCCCTTTCCCTAATGCGCCTTTCTAGAATTCAAAATCATGCGGGCATTGCAAAACCCCTTGTGCCTCTTGTAATCCTCTGAAGACTAGCTCGTCTTGCAGCACTTCAATTGCCTTGAGCCCCGCTTTACAACAAGTTTGCTCTGAAACGGCGAAAAGCTGATCTCATTGTTTGGAGGGGGGCATCTCGTTTTGAAGACTAAACATATGATTTCCAGAGTTTATGACAGAAATTGGACATGTTTGCAGAGACGAAACGACAGGCGCCAGAGAGATGTCCCAGCTGAGGGCACGAGCTGTGTGGGCCGCCAGGGAGTGTGCGCCAAAGACGCCAGCACGGAAGCAAGTGACTTCCCAGAACCACCACTCGGTCCTCAACACCGGGGCAGGCCTTTAGAGCTGAGGGTTAGCGGTACTAAGTAAGTGTAGAAGCTCATGAACAATGACATAGTACCATGTCTGCCGAGGTCATGGACAGAACGCCAGGCACGGCCAGCTTCAAGAACTTGCGAAGCCCATCCTATGCTGTCAATTTTTTATCTTCAACATGGCAACTGTGACACAAAGGAAGCACATGTTGGGAGAGCAAACTTCGTGAGTAAAAGACTGCTCAATGCAGCCGTGGTAGCTTTCTCTGCAGCGCTGCGGAGACCCCGTAACCCGGGGAAAGCCTGAAGCCGCAAGCTGGAGGACATCGACTGATCTGCATTACTCAGCACTTTATGCCGAAGACCCCTTCGAGCCCTTCGAGCCTGCGTTGCTTCTCCAGGCCTGCAGATAGCCAGGTAGGCCATACCTTTGCAAAGCTTCAGATTCGGATTGGCAGACTCTGAGCTGCGATTCCCATTTGCCCACCTGCCAGGGCCTGAACCGTCACCGCACCCAGGTTCAGGAGGCCACTACCGTCAAAATTCCAAGCGCCTGAGAGAAAGAAACCACGGATGCAATGCACCCTTCTGTCGGCAATTGAGAAGCTGCAGATCCAGCATTCCTGAGCAGGTCTCTGCCGAGACGCGCAGCATGGGGTCTGCCGCTAAGGCCACGAAAAGATTCGAAGCGATGGTTGCAGCTGTGAACGGCCAGGCGATGCCCTGCAGACGTTTATGGACATTTGAAAAAGCTGGAACATGTCTTGCGAGCATCCCAGCACGTGCAACAAAGGTTCCCTGACTGCCTGACTCAAGGCAAAGCGCCGTAAAGCCTGACAGGATTTGGCTGGCGTCCAATGGCCGTTGACAGCAACAGTCTGCACCGCAAACCAGGTTGACAAATCATCTCGCATGCCCCCCCATCAGTTTCATGCTGCCAGGCTCGCCGCGCTGCACAAGAACAAACACTCCCCGTCTCAATTGCCTCAAACAGCGCGAGGGGAACGATGCTGAGGCGGAAAATCCTCAGCTGCACATGGTCCAACACAAGTGCATGTAGAAGCTCTGCCGCTAAGGTGCTGCAGATAGCGAGCTGCAAATGATGCCACGTATGGGTCCTGTAAAGGGCGAGAGCGTAAGTTTGGCAAATCAACACAATCCAGCTAGGCCTGACACGCCTGACCCAGCAAAAGGAAGCCCTGCTCTGCCCATGACCATGCAACCACCACCTGCAGAGTGTCACTTCGCACAGCTTTAAGGCAGGAGCCTGGCCACATTATACGAAGACAAGGAAACTAGGCAAACTGAGCACACCGACCGGCAACAGCAAGACTGCGGCCAGGAGAACCTAGGAGGAAACCCATGTACGGCTGTGAGAAAACTCAGTGATTTGATGACAGCGGAGTAGCTGCGCGCAGGATCAGCACACCCACCTCACCTGCAGTGACCAGGCACGGCAAGTATTGTTACCAGCAAGCATTGCCTGGCACATTTCCTGGCACTGCCAGGCGGGACTTCAGCAGAGCTACGGAAATCTCCTCGGCCATAGGCCTGCGCTCCCAGGGTATCATAGCCCAGAAGCAAGCCTTGTGCTGCGTCGTTTGTCTTTCAAGCGGAAAATGACAGCTAGTAAAGCCTTGCTGCCAGGGTGCCATTCACTATGCTTCGGCCAGTCAGATTCCTGGTTCTGAAGTTCAGCATACAACAAACTCTGCGGCCCCCACCTGTGTAGGTTGACCCCGCAAATTGAATGACCAACCCAGCGACCCAGTCAACTGGCCCAGCGCATAGGCCGCTAATGCCTCGAACGCTTTTCGACTGGAGCATAGAGGCATGTAAAATCATGCTGTTCAAGCTGTGCCTCAGGACCGAGATGTATCGACACGGCTCGCGTGATCTGCCACGGAACCTTGAATACTCAAGGAAGGACCTGTTCCTTCCCAAATGAAAACCCATTGCACATGCAACCATCTGATCCTGAAACAGCTCTTAGCCAAGCGCAGCGAAGGAGAGCACACCGGTAACCTGCAGACGTGTAAACTCTGTGCATCAGCAACTGCAACCGCAGCAGAACGACAACAGCCTCGAAAAGGAAGAAATGCAAAAACAGCAGCGACGACGACAGCAGCGGCCGCAACAACACAAGGACCGACAACGATGTTGACGGTGTTGACGATGGCGACAACGATGCTGCTGGCAGCAGCAGAAGCAGCAACATCTAGAATCTAGAACAATCGCAATTACCAAGAGTGACGAGAAAAAGCATATTCAAGGGGCCGCTCCCCCTGCATGTTGTTCAGAATCTTGAGATTTCAAAGATGGGTTCCCACTTTGTGGATTCTTTGTGGCTCTTTGGCTTGCAAGTAGCGCAAATTTCGCAAAGAACCAAAACATCACACAATATCATGCACCCAAGAAGCTACAGAGGCTGTCGCAACTCGGAGCACCGCGAGCGGTTCGCTCAAAGCGGCCTCACACCAAAGATGTTGACAGCCCAACGTGTCGAGTGGCTCGCGAAATCCACTTAGCGCGCATATCCTCGCCAGCAGCCATCAGCAGCCATCAGCAGCCATCAGCAGAAACAACATTTGCAGTTGTAAAGAAAGGGACTGCAGAGACTTCTGAACAGCGTGGATTGCCCCTCCAGGCTCCTTAAAGACTCTTGAACTGGACCCATATGCAAATGGAGCGACCTGTGCAGGCAGCACCCTTTTGGTACGTGTTCCTGGCTTGACTGGTCCAGTTTACAAACCCAACGTCATATCACCTTGGCATGGCTGACTCCTTTTGTGACTTGAAGGTCTTTGAGCATCAAGCTGCTTTGGCAAAGCATTAATCAAGCTTAACTGTCCAAGAGTCCAGGGCAGGTAGGCGTTTAGCTACTCCTCTGCCGTGAAAGTAACATCGCGCGGCCTTTCGGGCTCTGTCTCCTTCAACCTGCCATGAGGACAGGCGCGGACTCCACCGCAAGGCTTTAGAACAGAGCGCAACCAAACTGCAGCCAAGCCGAGCAGACTGGCTGGCATACGATTCAAAGCGATGGACCTTCCATGGCAACTGCTTCACATTGCTTCACCAGCTTCAAGCCATCCCAACAACCCCAGCCACCTGCCTCAAGGTCCAAGGCAGCAGATGCCCCCGAACCGCTGTAACCCAGCGGGTTGCAGCCTTGGAAAAAGGTCAATGAAACTATGATGTTCTGGCTGCTACCCAGCTAAAATTGTTTCCTGCTTGCGGCGGTCCCTTTGGATGTCTTGAAGCCCTGTTTCCTCAACATCATTGACCTGAACAATTTATGTAATGCTGTGCCATAATATCTACATATATACATATACACATAAATCCATATGCATACATACATATATACACATATCATGTATTTGTGTTCGTAGCAGAGCTTTGTTTTTCTGTTGACATACTCATCCAAACACGAAAATGAATATGGTAAAACGACACCGGGTTTTACCTTAGCATTGGTTGCTGTACGCAGTAAAGTTATCAGCGAACAGTGAAAATCATGTGCTAAATTTACTGCCATACGAGAATCGAAGAAATATGCAAGAATTGGACTAGCAGATCTAATGGTGTTGTTCAAATTCCTGTGCTGAATACGAAATGGACGTAGACAAGCTATCAAATAATTATGATAGAGATATGTACGGGCGGTAGAAAGCATGAAAGGTAATAAATTCACACCTCGAAATCACTGAAAGCATAAATGACATGAAATAGCATGCTAAAATTCATGAACAGAATGAAGGGTTTGAAGATATCTACATCTATATATATATATGAATGTATTACCTTTAGGGTCTATTTGACGTCC